TTCAACTATGTAGAACTAAGCTACAGATACTTAGCCAGGTATTTATACAGATTACTACACTCCAAGCCCTTCCATCTAAGGTCAGTTCATTTCTAGATAATTCCAGTTGCAACTCTGAGAATATGGTTTCTAGTAGCTTCTCCAAGTCTCAGTTACAGTCTTGTTCATGTCGAATCTTATCTAGTACCTTCGACAGTGGTTCTGGTATGTTCTGCAAGGCTATTGCGCCGGCCCACCCCCTGGTGGTTATACGCCAGTACTTGCCATTACTGGCTACAGGAAAATACCGGCTTCTTAGCCGTTACAATGAGGAGTGGATGATGTTATAATTTGTGGTTGACAGTGAATAGACTCATACAATATTATGCTGTAGGTATGTGGACAGAAAGTATAAGACTAAACCTGTGGCCATTTATTGTGGGTACATCTATGAAACTATATACATGCTCACCTAACCAGTACACTAGTGATGTATGCTGTGGCCTTGAGCCACACGCAATGCCCTAGCCCCGACTACCTCGTTGTCTCATATCATAACAATGAAGCGTTCCCTTGCATTGTAAATAACGTCTTCCCGCTCCATCCATGATTTTCCCAATATAACATCATGAGACAACATTGGTATAACATACGCATATAAATTTCGTTGATACCCATCAATGTCTAGCTCCATGTTAACCATTTCCGTGATAAAATCTTCATGGTGCTGACTTTTTGTTGCCTCTGTGAGTTTGTGCGGACTTATTTTTATACGAGGCAGGTTAGCCTTTTGTACTAATGAATTACTAACAGCAGCTAGACATTTGCATCCATTGTCAATCAAAGTGGGTACTGAATAAATTCCGTTGATTACAGTGTCTATGATAAACGAAGATCCGTTCATAGCGCTTTCAGCTTCTTTATCTCCAGTTGATCTCGAGCTAGCAGCCATTGTCATAGTTTCATTTTCTTGCATTTGGGACAATTTGATTCGGGAGCTGATCTTTTAGATACCTCGTTCTTCGGAACTTTGGCCTTGGCTGTATCTACAATACGTTCGGCGAATGTTGCTACTTTGGTAGAAGTTTCATAATTCTTAGCTGGAAGTAGTTGACAGTTAGCTATAACGTGGCCAATCTTTCCACATCGCAAGCACGACCCATCTATTTTGCGCTGGTTCAACTCAACACGTGAAACCCACTTTGCACGGTCTTTATTGAGACCGGTCATCCTTATACTGCTATCTAAACCCTTAATGTGTAAGTTGGCTTTGGCTGGAAGGTGGTGCGTTATTTCTTGTGAGATTTCCCCTTGTAATTTGCCCCCAGCAACGCCTTGTATTCCATTGTCAAAGTACCCTGTCTAACCTAGCAGGTAATCCCTTGTAATTTCCATACCAACCTTGTCTATTTCAGAACTCAGGATCGACAGGTAATCAATTTGTTCTCGGAGTGTTCTAGGGCACAGACTACCAATCATGCAATTTCTAGTTGTCTTATTCAAAGAGTTTCGTAACTGGTACATCTTGCATTTCTCATTCCCTTTTGAACTTGGACTTCACGAGAGTAACTATTGGAAGCGCGGTAGATATGACAATAGGTTCTCGTCCCGAAATTGTCGACATGCGTGAAATAGTGCGGCCGCCAATTGTTCCTCATTTCTGTTGCAGTAGGTATCATCCATTGCCTGTAACAGCCCTAGCGCATCCCATTCCATGCCATTTGCAAGCATACTCTGAAACTGACTTGTGATCATATCTTTTGCTGTTCCAGTTACTGCATGACTAAATAGTTGAATTAAAAAGTCAGACAGTTGAATAATATTCCGCTCCTCTACATCACGCCTTTATATGTACCTAAGAATTCCATGTGTAATTGCCCATTTAGTTCTATCCTTGTGATTGTATGCTTCTGGCCATTTAAGTGGTTCTTCTTCAATGAAGCATTCTCTGCGTTCTGATTGGACTCCCACATTAGTTCTTGACAGTTGCAGGGGAGTTTTTTTCTCATTCTCCGATTGTTCCTCCATTGTTTTCATCATTTCGTTCATCTGAGATTGTAGAATACCAAGGTCTCTTCTGTGTTCCATTTCTCTTAATCTCATTTCTTCGACTAGTCGCTGCATTTCCGATTGTATTTCTCCATGTGGCATAGATTTCTGGTTCGATAGACTAGTTGCCACAAAGTCTGTTCCGATAGTAAAATTGTTCATTTCTGAACCTATTGTTGATTCTTAGAATCCATGTGCGTTGAAACCAATAATTAAAGATGCCCTAAGTCACAGTTATCTACAACTGCGATGTACTTAATGACGGTCAAAGGATTTGAATGATATAGTTTATATTGTGACAGAAACCGAGTTGGTGATGAATAAATCGATTTAATAAACTATATGAGGAGAAAATCGAACTCTAGCTACTACTAACAGGTATTTATAGGAGTTAATCCTCCTCGTGAATCTACAGACTAGTGACTTGTCCTTAGGCACAATACTTGTTACCCAGCCACGTATTTCCAGGTGTCACTAAGTTGTAATAACGCTTCAGCCTCCTGAGTAGAAGTGCCGTTTCGATCAGCTTCATCTCCCCCTCATACAGCCTCATAGTAAGAATTCTTAGTAACAGGCTTAGGTATCCACCTAAGCTCAAACAACGGTCAAACCGTAACAATTTTGAGACTTTTTCCCGCGCCTGCAGTTTCCATTGTTCCATTTTTATTTTTTTGGGTAGAAGGTTCCGTGGAAAAGGTGGCTGAATTCCCCGGGTAAGCACTGAGCTGAATGACTATTCATCACGGGCAATATATCAATTATCTTTCTAGTAATATAAGATGCAAGGAGCACTGTACAAGGTGTGGCCTGGGTCAGGGAGGAGCCCAATGTGCTAGATAGTCATAGACTCAAGTAATACAATAAATACACACACTCCTATCTTCCATTCCGAAAGCTCCAAATGATGCTACAATAATTAAAATTACATAAATTGCTTACGTCAGTACCATAACTTCCCATATAATAGGACTCGACTAAGACGCGCAGTCCATTGTAGCTATCAATCTTTACTGACCTATTGATCATATATCGGGCTCAAGTGTTTTTAATACCTTAATCTATTGGACTCCTAAAAAATCAAGTGTAGAGTGAAATAAGTCGATTTTGAATGAAAGTTTCAACGAAGGGTTTGCTTGTTGGGGCTTTCTAACATTTCTCCAAGTCGGCATGGACGAATTCTTCACCTTCCAGCCATGCCATTGTAATCGCTCCGCATGCTCGGCATATTGGAGAAAACGAAGAATAATCGCATCCGAATAGAAGTCGAGGATAAATACAAGCACATCTAAAATCGCCGAATTTTCATCAATGACGTATCTATCATTCTCTCACACGAGTCCTCTAACTTTGTCATACCACAAACCATCTCGTCTCAATGACTGAATAAGTATTCCAACCAATTGCAATTAGGAATTTGCTTCATCAAAAAATCGGCCATCTCCCACTACACACTTGCGACGCTATGTATACCTGCGAGGAGGAATTCAAGTCATAATCTACAAAGTTCGGGTCTTGGTCTATGGGGGACCGTTGCTCTAATGGGGCTTCACATCTTGAGGGAGGACAGGCAGCTGGGACGTAGGACAAACGAGTGAAGAGGTCACAAATGGGCATGCTGGGACGCATATTTTTCGAGTGTTTTCGACTCAAGTGTGTCTGTGGGCGCCGAGGCAACGATTTCGGATAGTGTAACCGACACTCTAAAAACTGGCAACGAAGGAAGGTGTTTTGGTCCACCTCCTGGTCGTCATCTCTCCGATTTAAAGTCTGGGTAGCCTGGACACCTACCTCACTCGAGAAAGGGAAGACTGTGAGGCCATATCTCGCGCGGCGGCTATATACAAGATGACAAAGGCATGTTAGGGTAGCCAAAGGTTTTTCCTGTTTTCCCTTTGGTGAATATTAACGGTTGGGGGAAGGGTGAAAGTCCCTAGCACCAAAATCTCGAGTGTTATCAGCAGGTGCACCCACTATATGAGTAGTCTAAATGTCAAATTGAGTTATCGTTGTATATAGTCGTCGGGGAAGCTAGTATTCTCCATGTCATGCTCCATCAGTGCTAGCCTTGTGCCCGTAACGAATAAATATTCATACTTTCAATTAATTAATCCTACTTCTTACTACATTGTGTACAGGATTTATGCTAAAAGTGCCTTTTGAGATCTATTAGCCTAAGCCTACAAAACAATACCTTCACCTTAGGCCTTTGGCATTGTAGCGTAAGATTCTATGAAAATAAAGATGTTTCAAAATAAGATACATCTCTAAAAGAATATTCAGTTTGATTTTATTCCCCAGAAGTAATCTGTTTCGTTTAATTGGTATTTTATTGAAATAGCCTAGCCTAACTTGTTAAAGTCTAAGGCGGCAAGGAAGGAGTATGATTTCTAGAGTGCATCATTAATACCTTGACGTTATAACATAATTTTCCCACGAGAACTTCATCTTTCTCACAACTCCAATTTTATGCCAACGCTATGAGTCTCCGAATTTCGACCGAACCACGTTCTTTGGACTGCAAAATCCTTTACTTGTGAAAATGCATGCGTGTAAATTTACATTTTTACGCCCTAAAAAAATACATGAGAATGATAAAAATTTTTGTTGAAGATTAATTTGTTGTTTTTTAAGTTTTAAAATTCGTTCAATTCGTGAGTGCTGAGCCTTGCATGCCTCGAAATAATTTAAGTGCGACATGGAAAGACTCTATGTAATATGAAGGGTAAGTACTGAACCAAGGGGCGAGGTAAGTACAGCAATTATCAGTCGATGAGAATAAAATACTGGCCAGTTAAGATTGTTCTGTCATCAAAGTTACTTATCCATTAGTTTAATAGAAGGAGCCATACTACACGACTGAGCCTGGATGTTCGGTTGGTCGAGAGATTTTGAAGTTGAATTAATAGGCTTTTGAAACCAATAAATGTGCAGATTAATCGTTTATTCTTTTTGCATGCCTATAGAAGTTTAATCTAACCATCTGGCGTGAAAGGGCTAGGCCGTCCATTACATTGTTCGTCTGCTTTTCTTTTGACGCCTTGGTTTTGGCTTGTAATAACATTTGAACTCATTGTTCTCCTTCGATCGAGCTCATTCTTTTGACGATTCATCTGCTCTTCTGCTCGCTGTTTCCATTTTTCGCGAATTTTTGGGGCTGCATTCATGAGGTCTTGTTTTGTCACCCGGTCAGTAATACTTTCAATTACACTTTCCACTGTACTGGTATGGTTTGCCTCGGTCTTATCGTCGCGGAAACGCATATATCGCCAGCGTCTTTGAGGATCCATTGAACATTCAACAATTCTATCATTGAGCGGCTGCTGCAATGCTTTCAATGATTCCCATTCAGATGGTTCCACATACATGGTCCCGTACCATGGATCTTCACGGCCTCCCCCGGCGTGAACATGAATATTAAAGATGGGCATCGCGTCATAGTCGTGGTATTGTTCCGTGATACCCTCAGCCAAGTCAAATTCGTCGGGTTGCACAAGTTGGAACTCCAGACTTAACCTGAAGTCGATCGAGTTCTCAGCTTCGGGTTTCCATTTCAAAATATGTGGGTCAGTTCCAAACTTGTACTCTGAAGTTCGACAAGTAAATATAAGGCCATCATTACCATGCGGAAGTGAGGGTAGAATTTGTTTAAACATGAGCTCAATAGCATAGGAAAACTGCATTGATTTGAGCTCCATCAGAAAATGTTGATGCTGAACTTCTTGAGGGTAATCTTTTAATATTTGTTTGTACGGATCGAAGATTCTTTCTTTGAAGTATGCCAACCTTTTATCGAGTGTCCGACTCATCAAACTATTCCCATCGAGAACCATGCAATCAAAGACCAAGTACTTAGCCTCCATTTCACCATTGGGCTTTTTGTCCATAACGAGCTCGCCATCTATGATAGTATTATTATGCCAAGCTTGTTGATCGCGCGGAGTCGGGCAATGAAAGGTGCCCGGCGGTATAAACCAAAAGTCATTCTTGCGGTTTATGAGGTAGTGTATTTCGTTACCCAAGTCATCCTCAGTCAAGTAGAGAAGGTAACGCATACCATCCGATTTCTCACACACGTAGTAACTGTGATAAATTAGTAGGAAGATGAAATCAATACGATGTATAGTGACTGACTCTTTCTTCTCGAGCTCTTCGAGATGCCTGCGCGAGAAACTGACGGGATTTGCACCTGGAAAGCTGTGGTTCTTTCGGTCCAACAAACGTGCTACTTCAGCACGCATATTAGCTAAAAGAGGGCCATCCGCCTTGATCCCCGGTGCTTCGACTGAGTTTAGTGGCATGTTGAAAAAGGCTTTTACATTAGAGCGCGGCTTGCGCTGGCATATCTAATATTGTAAATTTATTTTTCCTCTCACAAAATATTAATTGTACGATTTTTTCTGGTTATCTACTTGATAGCCAGAAAAATTATTATCGGGTGTCGCGAATACTAGTTTGCGTAAACTTTAATTTACGCCAGCTCAGTGCTCGTGACCTAGGTCAGACGACTGCTAACCCAATTCCAACCGTCTCGTCTGGGCCGATGATTAGGAAGCTGCTAGTAGTATTTCCTATGCACACGGTAATTATTTATTATCCCAGATACAGAAAAAGTTTTTCTCCAGTGAGGTTAAAGAAATCTTCCTGACGAGTGGTCTGCGAAAGGAAGTTGGACTGTCACTTTGTGGTCGAAACCTCCTTCTGCAAAGATTCTAAAAGTCAACAAAAAAAATCAAGAGGCAACATATCTAAGCACTGAACTAGAAGGTGACGGGGGAGGGTGAAGAATAAACTCTTACTCGTCGTGTCCATGAAGCTGGGAAAGAAATCTTTTCTGACTCAAACTTCGCAATACCTAATTATTTGGCCTGCGGCGCAATGCTTCAAGGCTCCACACTTTGTCAAATTTTTGGGATGGATAGTGAAGTGGTACACCATTCATGCCGTTCTACAAAGTAGATTCTGGGTAGCTTAAATACCTATCCTATTTCAGACAGAAGAAATCTGGTTCGAATCCAGTGAAACCCACATACCACTCTCTCTTGCGGTAATATTTTACTTGTTGGATGATGAAATCACACTCAGATAACCATAGGTTATTCATGCTTTTCCCAGTGGTGGGTATGCACGGAAGAGGTTATACGCCGTAAGGGTTAACCTCGAGTGGTATCTGCAAATGAAATCTGAGTGCGAGTGTTCTAAACGTCAAATTGAGTCATCCTACTTTAAGTACACATCTTCCCATAAAACCGGCATGGGTCCCGAGGCGCGCAATCAGAAGAATTGAATAATTTATGTCAAATCTTCACTGCCAGCGAGATCGATTACGACCAAAGCCTCCTCAGATCTTCAACTAAGATCTACTATATTCTCCTTCAATGACCATATCTCTCAATAGTGTAGTCTCTGGCCTTATCTGTCCTCCAACTATCCGCCCACGAGATTACAATTACGCGTAGGATGACACGAATTATGGCGAAGAAATCTGGGATAAACGAGAGCGAGATCAGAAAAATCGGACATGATGACGCCAAAGATGATGCTTAAGATGGATACAGCCTTACATGGGAGGAGGTTTCGGTTTTAGAAAAGAAGTTACTCACACTGGGCATGGTGCACTACACGTATTGTTACTCTACAATGCAGACAGTATTAAAAGTAGCTTGGTTGGATGGCGCTATGGTAAATCAATCAGGTCGGTCTATCATGTAGAGACTGGATAGTGAGTGATGTTTATTGTGCTGCATAACTCATAGACTATCTAGCACATTGCGCTCCTTTCTCACCCAGGACACACCTTGTGCAGTGCTCCTTGCCTCTTTTGTTACTTGTAAGATCATTGATATATTGCCCGTGATGAATAGCCATTCAGCTCAGTGTTTACTTGGGGAATTCGGCCACCTTTTCCACGGGACCTTCTACCCAAAAAAATGGTACCAATGGAAACTGCGTGCGCGGCAAAAAGTCTCAGAAAACCTGCAGCCCCAGCCAGGAGACGTCTGGACACCGGAACCGCATAAGGTGCGCATGTCTATCTTTATCTCCCTTCTTTGTAACAGTCGAGACCGACTTAATCCTATCCACCATCTCCGCATCGGGTGCTAGGTACGCTGCGGAAACTCATCAGATTGCTTTTCCTCCATGATCAGGGGTTGGTGATGAGTAGGGCTCCGACCCTACAATCTGATCTGATCGTGGTTAGCTTCATGATTGTGGCGATGGGGGGATGTGCTTAGGGATGAAGACGATAGAGACGGCGAAAGCGATTGGGTTACTCAATCTCGGCTCTGCAGACTCTACCATGAGAGCTGGAGATTCGTAGGGGACTCCACTGAGGTGTTGAGAATAGTCCCCCAGAGACTGGAGATAATAGTTTTAAATCCATCGAGATTCAAACACATTACTTACGATGAGTACTTTTTTTAATTTATATTGTATTCAGCTATTTAGCTATGACAAAACGATGAGTACTTGTACGGGAGACAAAAAGGCGCAAACCTTGACTTTTATGAGTAGTCACGGAGGTAGGTGGATTTTTCTGGGTGTTACGGTTTGACCGTTGTCTGAGCTTATGTGGATACCTAAGCGTATTGATGAGGATTCATGTTGTAAGACTTTAAGGAAATGATAGAGGAAACTGGAAGATACGGAACTACCAGCCAAGGGGCCAGATTATTGTCACAGCGTAGTGATTCTTGATAATGTGTGGCTGGATGGCAAGTATTCGGCCTGGGGTGAAGAAATCAGTCAAGACAATCACTGAGGGGCTGAAGGTTATAAATACCCGTTAGTTGTAGCTAGATTTCTCTTTCTTCCTTATACAGTTTATTAAATCGACATTATCATCACCAAGTCGGGTTTCCCGTCACACTGTGTAAGTAAATATACCTTGTAGTGGTGTTTTTACATGAGATCACGATAATAGGAGTCACTAAAGTCGAGTGTCATCCTGCATCTTTGCAAGGCACTAGTTATATGGCATATCTCAATAACTTAAGCCAGATAAAATGATTGAAAAAAAGACTAATCAACTAGCTTATATAATACCAAGCAGAAACTTGCCTGATAGACCATAGACTTGCGACCACCACAAAGTTATGATATGACGTATACCCTCGAGAGGGAAAATCTATCATAAAATGTAAACCCCTTTTCTAGCTATATTGAGGCTCTTCTCGTTGAGAGAGGACGTGCAGCTAGATTGTGGAACGTAATAGAGAAGATTTGAGCGATGGGCCTACTCGGGCTCTATCTATTAAAGAGTTCCCGATTTCGGAGTGTTGACGAGCGCCGAGACTTCGGCATCTGCTAGGTAGTCGGGAGGACTTCTATCGTCGATAAATCTACGGCACCCCCCCCCAGTACCTAAGATGGCAATAAAAAGTTGAGTAGAGCTATTACACAGCAAAGAAATTTTAACAAACATGTTCTGAAATTCAAACACGAAACATAAAGAGCTTTTATTTTACTATATAACGTTGTGCTAGCTCACAACACAACCAATTTTTTGAAATTCGAAATTTCGAATCTTCACCCTTTCCCCCTCTCCCTCCCTTTCGCGCTCATAGCATTCTATCAAAAAATTATCATCGAGTCACTGGCATTTTCACCATGCCACCTGTTCGAAAAAGCGTCCCACGCCAAGTTGGGCAACACGAGAGTCCACCCGAGGGCTCTCGAGCAATTACCTGGCCTTGCCCAGTCTCCGAAATGCGCGGAGATGAGCAAGGTCTCCATCAAAGGGAAGGAAAAAGCCCTCCCCGCCGTCGCTGAACCCGATACTGACATGATCGGGTCAGTCGAAATTGTTGAGGAAATTCATCAACGACCCTCCGTCCCTCACGGGATTGGAGAATCGTCCAAACCTCCTGTGACCACCTCAAAACCGTCAGAAAACGCTGCACCCATATCAGCGTCAACATCAACGTCGCAGCCAAAAGCTGCCACGAAAGCAGAGTGTCCCCTCGAGCTACGACCAATAGTCGAAGCTGAACAACGACGCGCCGCCGAACTAACGGCAAATCTTGCCCTCTTCTCCGCAGCCATCTCTGGCGTCGAAGCCACCCTTCTCCCTTTGACCAACGGGTCAAATAGACAATTCGTAGACTCGATGAGAGTGTACCTACGCGCCGCCATTGCGCAATACATGGCCACGAGCCCGGCCACTGCGCCACCCGTTCTTCCTCCTCGCCCGACGAACCCCCTCCCAAGGGCTCCTGACGCCAGGAGCCAAACAATACCCACCGTCCCAGCTCTGCACGTCAAAAGCACCTGGACCACGTTGGCTAGATACGGACTGCGAAAAAAAAGCAGTCTCTACTGCCAAGGCTATGCCGCGACCTGCGGCCAAAGCCCAACAAAAAAAAACACCCAAGGCGAAAGTCGACAAGCGACTGTTCCTTTGCTTTGAAAAGGACCACCCGTGTCGAAATCTATCCACAAGCAGCGTGAGATCTAAGTTGGAGTATACATTCGGCTACTTTAACCAAGAAATAACCTCACTCCACCGAGTGAGAACGGGCTTTGCTATGCTAGCAAAGAACGAAAAAACACGACAAGAGACTTTAGATGGCTCTTCGAAGCTGGCAAGTCATAACGTCAAACTCGAGGCATCTTCGGATCTTGTCGCCTTACAGATACCAAACGTACCTGTAAGTATAGTTACAGTGTGCGGCCCCAGGGCGGTCGATGCTAGTTGTGTCTCTGCCAAGATTCTCGGTACGACCGGCGCGCTTCCAATCCAGGTTCGACCTCATGGGACATGTCGACCTGGGGCACCGTATCAAAACTGGCATGCCCTTTTCACGCGGGACAACGCCCCTCGTGCGGGCTTCCGCATCTTCGACGAGTCTGGTATGGCAACCATTCACAAGCCTTGTCGCCAAATTGAATAGTGTAAACGCTGTTTGGGCTTCCACGCCACTCGTGGTTGCTCCCGCGCTCCAGCCTGCTGGAACTGCGGCTCCAACATGCACTCGGAAGCCGAGTGCAAGGCCCTCACAAAGTGTCGTAACTGTGGTGGACCCCACCGATCGGATTCTCGGGACTGCCAAGTCAGACCCAGGAAGTCCGGACCGGTGACTAAAGAGCAGCTCGCGCGGATTTGCCATCTCGAGCAAGGGAAGTTCACAGAGGCGGCTCGAGCTAGGGCTGCAGCCAAAAAGGCCGAAGAGGCGATCGCCGCCGCGGCGAAGGATGTCGCAATGGCCGAGGCAACAGTTTTCGGAGTGCTGGGATCTGAAGAAGAAGCCTGAGGGAACAGCAACCTCGACGATGTCCCTCCTGGGGCATCTACTAATAA